TGCCGGACCTTACCTTTACGTGCAATACACGAAAGGTGACTTGGAGAAACATCATGCAAGACTTGGGCAGTGACCATTACATTATCTCTATAGAAGCAGAAGGCGGCCCACAGGAAAACAATGCCGGTCGCCAAATGAAGATCACCAATTGGGAACTACTACGAAAAAATCGAGACAAGCAACAGATTAAAGACATCAAAGACATTGAGCAATGGACCGACCAACTTCGGCGGGACATCGAGAGGGTGACGCAAATGATGCCGTTCAACAGCTGGGCTTGATAGAATAGACACCCGGTTACTGCACATGTGGCAAGCCAAGACCGAACTGCATCGCCGCTGGAAACGACAACGACATAACAGGAGACTGCGAAAACGAATAGCACAGCTCAACAAAGACATAGAAAAGCAAGCACTTGACCTATAATAACAGCAATGGGAAGAGAAATGCACGCAGGTGGATGGTCAGCTCAATACGAGACGCACATGGCAGATACTGCGGTACCTCATAGATCCCACGAACACCAAGACCTCACAGAGGCAAGGCATATGCAAAATCATACACGCTTATGGGGGAACGGAGCAAGATTTCTTACGGGAAGCGGAACTCCATTACATATCCGAAATGACCCCGCAAGTACATCCGGAATACAGGGGAGAAGGCAACGCCCTCCTAGACCCAGAATTCTCAATTTCCGAAATTGAGGCGGCCCTCGTCAAAGTCAATACCAAGTCAGCCCCAGGCCTAGATCGAATATCGAACAGGGCACTGTGCAACCTCGATTACAGATCGCTAGAGAAACTCGCAGATTATATTAGCTGGTGTTGGGTGCGTGGAAAGGTACCCGAGCCATGGAAAGGAGCACAGATCATACTTATACCGAAACTCGGCAAGAAATTGCAGCTGCAGAACCTGCGCCCTATCTCCCTAACATCATGTGTAGGTAAACTGATGGAGCATGGGTTCCTCAATAGACTAACAAATTACCTTGAGGACAACAACCTATTACCACACACAATGATTGGGTTCAGAAGACATCTCTCCACACAGGACGCTCTTCTGCAACTAAAACATCAAACCATAAAAAATCCTGGGTGCTCAAGAAGAGCCATCCCTGGCCTGGACCTGAAGAAGGCCTTCGAAAACGTTCGTCACGATGCCATATTGCGACTACCAGACAGATTGAACCTCGAAATGCGAGTGTACAACTACATCCGAGACTTCCTCACGGGAAGAACCGCATGCATGCGAGTGGAACAACTAGAATCAAATCAAATCAACATTGAAAACTCGGGTACACCGCAGGGCTCGGTGATCTCGCCGATGCTCTTCAACCTTGTCCTGCTGGGGTTACCCGAGCAATTACATCAAACTGATGGACTGCACCACACGCTATACGCGGATGATATTACGATCTGGACGACAACTGACAGTGATGGAGAGATCAAGGATCGCTTACAGGCGGCCATAGAATGCGTGGAACATTACCTCGTAGGCACGGGACTCACCTGCTCGGCCGAAAAATCCGAATTACTGCTATATTGACCGGTGAAAAAGGGACGCCTGCCCAAAGACTACGTACCTTCAGAAAAACAAGAAATCAAACTAACATCATCAAACGGCTCACCAATCCCAATGGTAAAGAAGATCCGGGTACTGGGGATGATGATTGAGCAGAACGGCGGCAATGGTGAAGCACTGCGCAAGATAATGACAAAGGCCACCAGCACGATGCAACTCATCCGACGCATCACGAACAAACATGCGGGCATGCGCGAAGGCAGTGTCATACGACTCATACAAGCCTTTGTTATTTCACAACTAATATACACGGCACCGTTTTACAAATGGACAGTTGCGGAAAAAGATAAGCTTAACGCCCTGATACGCAAGACGTACAAGTTCGCGTTGGGACTGGCGCCCGGAGTTAGCACCAGCAAACTCCTAAAGCTAGGGCTGCATAACACTCTCGAGGAACTTGTGGTGGCGCAACAAGTTTCCCAGCTCGAGCGCCTATCCAAGACCCGCCCAGGCCGACACGTACTCGAAAAACTCGGCATCACGTACCATACGCAGCACAGCATCAAAGTCGAAATTCCAAGATCGGTACGCGAGCAAGTATATGTACCCCCATTGCCTCGAAACATGCACCCCCAATACCATACGGAATGGGGTAAAGCCAGGGCACAACGCATTACTCAAAGCTACTCCAACGACACTGAAGCAGCTTTCACTGATGCCGCGTGTTATACATATAAAAATAGTTTCGTGGCGGTAGTTACCGGCCATCGCGGCAAATACATCACAAGTCTCACTGTGAACATGGCACACGCTGAAGCGGTAGAGGAAGCGGCTATAGCACTGGCCCTCACGCAGTGATTCGCAAACAGCAATTCGCAATTTTGCCAACGGACGCATCTCGCAAGAGGCGTTTCACATACTCCAACGACATCTCATACATCCAGGAGAGGTCGACTTCGATAACCGAAGGCACCTGTTATGGATCCCGGCACACACCGGACTGAGCACCCCCAACGAAGCGGCTCACCGCGATGCTCGAGGCCTCACTCACCGAGCATCGCCAGAGGACGACGAGCCCCCGCGGGGAACTGCAGACGTCTGGGCATGGGAGGACCGTATGACCAGGTTTCACGACTTCACCACACATTACCAGTTACAGAGACGCACATACTCATCCCCTCTCGAAAGGCTGAACAGAATGCAAGTGGTACACCTCGGACAATTACAAACAGATTTATACAGAAACCCCAGACTCATGCACACGATGTATCCAGACATATACACTACAAACAGATGCAAGTCATTTGGCGATGTTGCCACCCTTAGTTACAAGCTGTGGGAGTGTCATAGTTTAATAAACAATTCGAACAGTGCCGATTCGTCCCACTTTTCCACCGCCAGCCTCCGCTCGCGTTGGAAGGCCGCACTGCTCAGCTCGAACCTGACAGCACAACTCTGGGCCGTCCAGCATGCCGAGGAAGCCGCTTCGAGACAAGGTCTCGGAACCGCATCCGTGGTGGGTCCCCAGGCCCACTAAAAAACGCCGGACTCGAATCGTCTGGATTCGACAAATAAAGTTTATGTTCTTCTTCACTCGCAACTTTTTTTAAAAGCTGTGTTTCATTTACTACGAATTTCAGGATACAGCGAACGGATGCCACGTCACGCTCAGGTTCGTTGTAGGCGGGCTCGACTATACCAAAAAAACAGTATTGAGAAAACTGCGTTTGAAGTTTCAACTTCTATTCACGTCTCTAAAACACCTAAAAATTGTCATCTTAGGTTTGCCTTGTGATATTTGACATCTCAGGCATCTGGTCTCTGCCCAATGTGCCTTTGTTGCCTATATTTTTTTATAACCTTTTTTTTTTATCTACAAAGAACAAGTATGTATTTCAAACCAAGTTCTCTGTACGAAAGATTGGTGTGATAGCAGGCATGACAGAATAGATTGTAATTGAACAAGGACACATACTGAGATGATTAGACTTTTTTGTGTGTTGAAGCTATCATTAGCATAATTAGGTACTTCTTGATTACAAAGTGAAATTTTTTTTATTGAGAGATGTTTATAGCATAAGAAAAATGGTTCACACCATGACAGCCTATGCCTTCTTTCCAAATGACTAACAGTTATGGGCAGAAAACCTGTCGCACAGAAATTTTCTAGCAGTTTATTTAATGACGTTAGTCAGGCATATAAAAACTCGTGCCCCTGCTTTATACATGCTCTTTTGCTACTCTAGCCATGAAACGCTAATCTAGGAGGCTTTCGTTGTCTCAGAACATTCATAGATGCTCGCGGCGATACCAAGCAAGGCTCCAAGCACGTCTAAATTGCGTCACAAAAGCTTATTGACAGCCCTCCATATGACCAAAAGCATATTGACAGCCCTCCATATCGACAGCGCAGCCGGCACGTGTTGCACTTGGTGGCGGCGTTCGGTGACGATGTGCAAAATGTGTACCTACGATGACAAAACTCTGGCACGCACTGCGCTTGGTATCGCATTTTCGAGTGCCGATGCACGAAACATCTAGCCGCTGTTCCAAGCAATCCTTGACAGTGGAGGAGGGGGGGGGGGGGGGGGGTTGACGAGCTTGACAGTGGGGTCTGCTGCCAAAACGTAAAATGCCTGTCCGCGGTTCTGCGGAGCTAGCGAGTGACGACTCATTGGTTGCGAAGAAGCACATCGCCACGAGTGCGCTAGCGCGTCATTCTTGCCCGCATTCTCGCCGTCAGCAGAGTTTCGGCCTAAAAATGACTCTGATGACGCGCCACCCTTGTACACCGCCCGCTTTCTCGTACTGACGCGCTGCGCTCGTAGACCGCGCGCCCGCTCCTAGTAATCTGATCGTGCATCCGCTCACAGCTCCTAACTAAAGTGTAATTATATTCTAAGTGATTGTAGAGCCATGAACACGTCACGAAGTAGCGTTTTTTGATAGTCATGTCCTCGCGACGCACAAGCAGCAGACGAGGATCTCCCGGAGCGAGCATTGGGCCAATGGCGAGGCGAGCTGGCGCAACGTGGCGGCCACAGCCAATCACGGGCCTCGAAGCGACCTTAAAATATTTGCTTTTTGTGCCCTTGTTTTTAAAGGGAGGAGCCAGCTGAGGCAGGAAGTTTGAACACGGAGAAACGCTCTTTTCGATGAGCTCAAGAAGACGGCTCTCGGCCACGCCCTCCCAAAACTATATTTTTTGAAAATCGGTGTTTTCTCGTCATTTCGAGGATAAATTCCGCTGCCTAGGAGGGTGAAACGAATCTTTTGAAGCACTTCTGCGCAATTTTCAGTGTAGATATTTTGGAATCAGATAGAAAAAAGGTTTCAGGAACTGAGAACTTAATTTTCAAAAAATCAATTTTTTGCCATTTTTTGCGATACCAAAGCCGCGTTCCCCCTTTATTAAACAGGCAACGTTGCAAGTGCTTTCAGTTGGCCGAAAATTGCTGACGAAAGCATACGGAACCCACCAGGCAAGAGATTGTTACGGTGGGACGAGCGCCAATTATGATGGCTGGCAAAATCTGTGCGTGCAGAGCCACTCTGGTTCTCCTGTACCAGTCGGGGGATCAGGTCAGGGCTCGAAGGGCGGCTTGGGCTGGACAGTGATGCAATAGCAGCATCGTCTTCTTCCTGAGATGACCCATCAGCTGCACACAACAACAGTTCACACTTACACACACATGCACCTGAATACAGTCCACAACCTGTTAACCTAGCCAACGATAAACTCCTCTTAGCACTCCCTCAATGACCAGCGGTGACTGTTTATGCACACTGCTTAGACAACAAATCAGTGTAAATTTAATATTATTGAATTTTAGAGGAAGCGCAACAGAAAACTCCAACCAGTGGCTACGCATTCATGTGGACTATGAATTTTTTTTTTTTTATGACAATAATTCAAACAAGCATTATGTGAATGCATGCATATGTGCACTTGTGAAGGCATGTCCAGGCCCATGTAAAAGAAAAATAAACCATTTCGAAATGCAGACTCGGTCTAAAGGCTCCACATAAAGAGATGAAGATTGGCTAGCTCAATTTTCCTCTACAGTGGACTCTGAGTGAATGGAAATCTGTAAAACGGAATTGCCGCTTAAATGAAAAACCACCTCTGATGCAATTGGTTTCACACTTTAACGTTGCACTCCTGTTCTCCTCATAGTAAACAAAACTCCTGTAAAACGGAGCATATTTTCCTGTTCCCTTAAGGTTCCATTTAACCACTTCCCGGTTTTCATCATACGACAGCACCTCACATGGACCAAAGGGTTTTCACCGTACATCTACGGCACTGCCTCGATGTTTTAAACACACGCCTTTTTCAATCATTTCTCTTGCATGGCATGTGCTGCCATAGTTAGGGAACGCGTGGGATTTTTTTCGTGCACTGATGTTTTTCAATCATTTCTCTTGCATGGCATGTGCTGCCATAGTTAGGGAACGCGTGGGATTTTTTTCGTGCACTGATGTTTCTTCGTTGTTGTTTTTCTTTGCTTTGCAAAGGAGCGATCTGGATACCCCTCGCCCATCCGAGCGCATCCGTAGTTCGGCTGTTTTAAAATTAACCATTTTTTCGATCGATCATTTTGCTTGCTTGCAGTGGTGGGAATGCCTTCCAGCATTTTCGAGCAGCCATTGCAGCAGGCAAAATCTTTTGGAGCAGTTACCTCAGTGTTTGGAGCACGCAGGGGCTTTTCATGACATACCCGGAGGAAGAAAATTTAGCTTTATTTAGTTTAATGTTCCCTCAGCTTACATAATCACTTATACATAAGCAGCAAGCCCACAAAATAGGCACAAAAAATAAATAAGTAGGATTATGTACAGACGCAGTGATATAACAGCGACGAATTTTATGGATATATTTTTACCTTGGTCGGCACTGCATAAATTTTGTCCATAGTGAAGAATATTGCGTCATGCTAGCTGCAGCATGAAGTTCATAGCAGTGCACAGAGGCACACACACACCACACATTCACTCAAACTTCGATCGTTAGAGTAAAACCTCATTAATATGTACATACAAACCGAGAACCTGCCGGGAACACAGCTGACTACACACTAAACATAGTATGTGTTAACCACCAAGTACATAAGCATGCACAGGGTTCCTCTTCAGGGGAGGGGGTGGAAGGGGAATATTTGTCGTAGCGCCCTCTATCATGCCAATGTATGGGGCTGACTGCGACCCCCCGTTCCCCCCCCCCATGCACACGCCTATGACCAGGTACCAATTTGCATTTATTTAGGTGCGCTATCATTGTTAAAGAAAGAATACACTACCACAGCAAATATTGCCTAGCATGCCCATCATGAAGCCATTTCTTTCTTCTTGCTTATGTTCACAAACGGTTTGCATTTCCACAAGACCATCTGATGGAACGTGGTGATGACACCAAAGAGCATTTTGAAACTACTGCAGTGTCCTAAATACGCAGCCAAGACAGCGACTGACATAGCGACGAAACGGACATAATCAGCTGTCCATGATAAATCCGCACCACAATCTGCTGCTTAGCGAAAAATGACGAAGTTGTTTGGGACGCGGTACGGTCGTAGGGAGCTGATCGTCTACTAACTGGCGATAGTTGCGTGCAGCCCTTCGCCTACTTGACGTACACATTGTGCCGAGCTGCTAGTGCACACTCCGTTTCAGACCATGCACAGATGTGGCAAGAAGCCTGTTGCGTTAACGGGACCATGTGAGCTTTCTTCAAGCGATGCTCTAGTAATCCTAGCAGCGGGCGGCCGTGCGTTTGTGCCGTCGCCTTGGGAAAGTGTTTGCTACGCTTGCTTACTCAGTGCCCGTAATTCACAATGTTCAACTCCCCAACAGCAAGCTGCTTTAGTTTCTGGAAAGCGGTGCATGCTGAACACGGTCCCCCGCACAACGATTGAGGCGGCAGCGATCAGTGCCTCAGGTAGTCACCGGCCATTGAAAGCATGCACTAGGCCTAAAGCGGTGCCATGCCACACACAGACGTAGGGAGCCTCCATGTGCGAGGCGGCGCGCACAGATGAAGGCTTCCTACACGTAGGCTTTTTATCGGCCATAAGTCATACTGGGCGCTTTTTAGTAGTTACCACATCACCTTCGTTATTTGTCACTAGTCACCAGAAAAGGCACCGCTGCAATCACGTGGAAGTTGGTATAATTGATCAGCCGATTCTGTGTTCTTGCAGCAGTGCACGTGTACAAGATGGCGACCATCACGTAACATCCGCTCACGATGCATGCTGCCAACATTAATATCGGCTCCAAAACCACCTTGGGGCACAGCAATGGCGCAAAACAGACAAAAAAAAACCTTTTGGAGCAGTATGGCGCAGCAACTTACAGTTGGCGCAATTGGCATGGGTTTTCCACCACTGTCCTTGGCATGTGCTGCCCAATTTTGGGAAACTGAATTTTTTTTTTCATGTGCCGATGTCTCTCCATTCTTACTTTTTTTTATGCTTCGCAAGGTGCCACTCTGAAAACCACTTGCAGCGTTTAACAATTTTCAAATGCAAGCCTGATAATTTTTCTTGCTTACAATGAGGTGCCATGCTTCGGGAAGACGTGGTTTTTTTTTTTTTTTTTTTTTTTTTCAGGCAGCGTTATCTCTCTCTTCTCTGTCTATATATTTTTTCTTCTCCACCCCCCCCCCCCCCCCCCCCAAAAAAGCAGCCACTGGCTTTCGTTTGTGCATGCAAACACGCTGGTTGCGTTTTCATCCTTCAGATAGTTATTGCTTCTCATGCCTGCAAAGTTGATCGCTGCCTGGTTTCCAACCTCTCAAAAGATTACCTTTGAGAGATTTGATATGATATGTGGCGTTTAACGTCCCAAAACCACCATATGATTATGAGAGACGCCATAGTGGAGGGCTCCGTAAATTTTGACCACCTGGGGTTCTTTAACGTGCACCCAAATCTGAGCACACAGGCCTACAGCATTTCCGCCTCCATCGAAAATGCAGCCGCAGCAGCCGGGACCCAAACCCGCGACCTCCGCACCTTTGAGAGGGCGCGACTCGTTTATTGCTGCTCGAGGCGCGTTTCCGTGCGGCGCTGAATTACACAAGCAATGCCCATGTGGTTGCGTTTTCCGTTTTTGGGACTTGAGAAAAACCAACGCCGTCTCATTCACGAGGAGACATACCAACTTTTTCACTCATTTTGATGCCTGGAAAGACAACTAACCATAGAGATTTCTTCTGCGCGCTCACTCGCACAGTTCCCTTACACTATAAAAGTGCGCGCTGGTTGCTCTGCTGCTAATGAGTCAAGTGGAGATCCTTCCGATGTAGGCTATTCCCTAAGTGCCAAATGGTAAGTTTCACTGGATTTCAATTGGTCAGACGAAGATTCACCTACAAGTTCAGACTCAAGTAATCATGAAGGAGCAACATCTCGAAAGTGTGTGCGGCAGTAGGATTAGGATCAGATCAGAGATGACTATTACCCGGAGTTTATTGTTAGATCAAACACATTTTTCACTAGAAAAGTACTCTGGTGCACTTATTTTTGTATGTCTGTGAGCTATGTTAAATATAATGCATGTCTTATTTATAAAAATCATAAAAGCTTTTGTTTAGAATTTTGCTTGATATTAATATGAATAAACTATGTCTATGTAACACAAAATAATTTTTGTGTCACATTACTGTCACAAAAAAATTTGTTGGAAAATTTTTCTCGTAATAGAATGGTCTGAAGAATTTATTTCAGCAATAAAAAAATTAGGTCATTTTTTACATGGATTTCACAAAAAAAATTCACCCTGAAGGGTTAGTAAATCTACTGCAGTGCAGCAAGATAACTGCCAGCAGAAGTGGGGAGGAATTCCACATCAACAGGAAGAGAGCAGATTGACAACCTTACAGAGATAAAAAAGGCAGTATAGTAGGACCTCCATAATTTATAAGACAATGGGCTCTCTGAAAGTTTTCTGGGTAGTACTAGATGCCAAAATGTGACAAACGCTTGCCATCACTGCTGCTGCGTTTGTGGCGAAATGACAGATTGCAATATGGGTATTTGAGGACTTCACCTTTAGTCACCGTGATGTTACCTTACACAGCATTTTTCTGTCATGCAAGATCCCATGTGATTACGAGCGGATAAAAATATGTGATGGCTATATTTATAGCTTTTCCTCTTACCCAAGCGAAGCTCTTGAAGCTCGAGGTAAAATGTCAGGTGTCCACAAAAAACCCTCCACGGCGTTGCTCATCAGTCATGCCCACTGATGGAGACGGTCCGCGCAGCCGGCTGAGTGAGTTTGCCCGCTGTACGACCAGACTACGAGCGACAAAAGGCCTGCACTTCTGCCGGGGGGTGCCACAGCCACCTTTGCACGTTAGTTCTGGTGCTGGAGTTTCTTGCATGGTCAGTGACACGCTGAGGTGCAACTCGACTTAGACTACGCCAAAGAAAGACATAGCACCAGAATAGATGGTCACATTAACCATCCTGATTCAGTTACGTGCAGTCTAGTCAGAACCACGGGTCGAGAGGTCTAATAGGGAGTCATCGCGGCTGCTGTCACCACCCTCCCTAATGCATAGTCTTTCGTCATTTTGAGCATGTTCAAATGCCGCTATTTTTTTAAGCTCTTCTCAACAATGCTGGGAGAAACTATGTCCAATGACACGAAG